TTTTTTAAAGGTGCTCTACTTCTCTTACATTGAGCTGTATGGACGTAGAGAGCTCGTAGTCCAATAATAACCATGAGGGAGTATTATATGTTTGTCACTAAACTTGTTATACTAGTCCAACCCTACTATTGTTTATATTCCAAGACTCACTCGCTTGGTGCATAATGGCACATTTTACGACCCAGTACATGTTATGAGTATGTGACGTCTACTGCTACCATCTTATCTGACATTTTTTATGTGGTATTCTGAACAAAATACCCTCTTGATTCGTCTCTCTGTAATACCAGGTGTATGTTAACGACACATATTGCTAAGTTTTATGAGTATTTAAAACTAATTCTTTCTGTTGTTGTTAAACAAGAACAACACATTTCATTCACATAAACATACATACGCAGACTTTTTACAACCGAGAGATAGTGAGCATCTCATAAACACGCTTATTTGGGGTTTTACTGGCATTAAAATAGGTTGATACCAAACATTTTTAATAATAACATTTTGACCTTATTCAGGAAGTTTTATACTAGAATATATCAAGGAAAACGATAATAATATTAATAATTATACATATTAAAGAGCCGAATGTCATTAATACTTCCTTATTATATATTTAAAACAACTAAAATAACCAGATAACTTATATATCGGAAGTTGAACAACGTTACCTGAATGTCATATATTTCTACCACTAAGAGCCAGCCCTTATCATTTAAATATTTATCAAGCTTTCCGTTAAACTAACTACATCCACCACATTCGTGGAAATAAAAATATCCTAAAACGTAGGGATTTAGTGGAAATTTTTCCAGCTGATATATTTCTCATAACGGTGTGTTTTAACAAACGTGGAGGATAAGTAGAACCTAGCGGCGAAATCAGCCAGTTATCAAATTATTTGTAAAAGGAATTTTAAAGTAATAGAAAACATTAATGGAGAAAAGTGTGTATGGTTGGGAATAAGAATATCCATTATAGCAACAAAATTACCTTGTTAACGTTATGTAACAACAAAATTACCTTGTTAACGTTATGTAGCAACCAAATTACCTTGTTAACGTTATGTAGCAACAAAATTACCTTGTTAACATTATGTAGCAACAAAATTACCTTGTTGACATCATGCAGCAACAAAATTACCTTGTTAACATTATGTAGCAACAAAATTACCTTGTTGACATCATGCAGCAACAAAATTACCTTGTTAACATTATGTAGCAACAAATTACCTTGTTGACATCATGCAGCAACAAATTACATTGGTAACATCATGTAGCAACAAAATTACCTTGTTGACGTTATGTAGCAACAAAATTATCTTGTTGACGTTATGTAGCAACAAAATTACCTAATTAATATTATGTAGCAACAAAATTACCTTGTTAACATTATGTAGCAACAAAATTACCTTGTTGACGTTATGTAGCAACAAAATTACCTTGGTAACATCATGCAGCAACAAAATTACATTGGTAACATTATGTAGCAACAAAATTAGCTTGTTGACGTTATGTAGCAACAAAATTACCTTGTTGACATCATGCAGCAACAAAATTACATTGGTAACATTATGTAGCAACAAAATTACATTGTTAACGTTATGTAGCAACAAAATTACCTTGTTAACTTTATGTAGCAACAAAATTACCTTGTTAACTTTATATAGCAACAAAATTACCTTGTTAACTTTATGTAGCAACAAAATTACATTGTTAACGTTATGTAGCAACAAAATTACCTTGGTAACGTTATGTAGCAACAAAATTACATTGTTAACGTTATGTAGCAACACAATTACATTGTTAACGTTATGTAGCAACAAAATTACATTGCTAACATCATGCTTGCAAGGTTAACAATAAATTATTAGAACTTATTTTCACTCTGTGTTTGTTTGTTGTCAAGCGCAAAGCTACACAATGGGCTATCTGTGCTGTTCTCACCACGGGTATCGAATCCCGACTTTTTTTAGCGTTATAAGCCTTCATACTTACTGTTGAGCCACCGGGGGTAAGGGGAGTATACATTGGGGCATTTATTCTAGAAATTATGAAATATAACTACTCCTTGATATATGATGTTTAGTATGGGGTATTGGTTGACATGCGTTATAATTTGGGCTTACTTTTGGGTGAATATCTTCAGTACGTTATATATATCCTTATTCTCGTATGTTGTCTATGATTATCGAAAAACTTAGAAGGCCATGCACTTTGGACCTCCTGAAGCTCGTGTGGCAGAGCTAAAGATCGTATCAATCTTCTGGAAGTTGATACTAAAAACAGGATCACCGATTTCTGGTTTACAGAATAAAATAACGTTTGATATTCATACAAAATATGAAAATATAGTTTTCGTTGTGTTGCACAGTAAGCTTGAGTCTAGCTAATATAAACTCGTAACTAAGCGCTACAAAACATGAAAATATAGTTGTCGTTGTCTTTCACAGTAAGCTTGAGTCTGGCTAATATTAAGGGAACTATAAACTCGTAACTAAGCGCTACAAAACATGAAAATATAGTTGTCGCTGTCTTGCACAGTAAGCTTGAGTCTAGCTAATATTAAGGGAACTATAAACTCGTAACTAAGCGCCAAAATTTGGCATACAAAGCAGGGAGTTAAACATCTAAAAATAAATCGGCCTGGAGTTTGCCGTTTCTGCGGATTTTTTTCTTCTTGACGAAACGTAAGATTATTTTATGACTGACGTGACTAATTTGTTGTTTTTTTCTGTGTCAGCTCTTAAGATAAACCAATTAATGATCTAAATACGCGAGCACATGTGTAACCCTTTGCTATTAACTTTTATTGTATCACTGAAGCGACTTTTTAGTTAATTTATGAAGTAATCAACAGGGGATATAAACTGAATGTTCATCTTCGCATTTACAGCCATATATGACATACGTTATTTAAAAAAAAAAATATCAACTCCCAAAACAAAACACCCTTCCACAGCTGTCAGTTTTCTTTGAGGTTTCTCAACATCAGAAATAGTGTACCTAATTTAGGAATGGTTGTAGAAAATTTAAACATACGTTCTTGAGCTGGTTTTCATTTTCCAAGATACCGTTCCCGCTGAGATCACGTGTTAGGCATTTTTATTTATCGTGCTTATTTACTGTCGGGCATATCTTCTTTCTCATAGCATCATCTGTAATGTGTCTGTTGTAGTTCAAAATTAAGAGAGGACGTTTCCATGGCTTCCGTGAGTGAATATTTTCACGCGTATTTGAAAGATGAGAAATATTTCTTGCTAATTTGATTGGTGGACTTAAAAATTAGCTAACACAAACACCCACATCTTGGTCATTCCTTGTGACATGCAGCGCCATCTGTTAAAATTAACGATATCTGTTGCAGACAATTTAACCATTCTCATACTTACAATGGTTTAGAGGGTATGTTATGCTTACGTTTAAACAGTATATATTACAAATGACTTAATTACAATTTAGATAGTATTCTGTAAGTGAATTAAATATTTCTAGAGTTAGTTACATGGACTTAAACACCTTTAAGACTGTGTGTTTAAAGTGACTTAAACACCTTTTTACACAGCATGCTATAAACGACGGGTCAGAGTATGTTTTATATGAGACTTTCATCAATCCACTATACATATTAAGTACTTGAATAGAATACGATTTATACGTGTGTTTTTTTCTGTCATTTTCACAATATCTTACAGGTAAACACTAGATTTCTACTCGAGGAAAATATATACGTTACTATGTTCCTAAATTATACCTGGAGATTTTGTGTTCTATATACCCACAAGAAGAATAGAGATTTTATTCTATCTAACGACAAGAAGACTAGAGATTTTGTGGTACATACGCACAGAAGAATAGAGATTTTGTGTTCTATATACCCACAAGAAGACTAGAGATTTTGTGTTCTATATACCCACAAGAAGACTAGAGATTTTGTGGTACATACCCACGAGAAGAATAGAGATTTTGTGTTCTACATACCCACAAGAAGAATAGAGATTTTGTGTTTTATATACCCACAAGAAGACTAGAGATTTTGTGGTACATACCCACAAGAAGACTAGAGATTTTGTGTTCTATATAACCACAAGAAGACTAGAGATTTTGTGTTCTATATACCAACAAGAAGAATAGATATTTTGTGTTCTATATACCAACAAGAAGAATAAATATTTTGTGGTATATACCCACGAGAAGAATAGAGATTTATGTTCTATATACCCACAAGAAGACTAGAGATTTTGTGTTCTATATACCAACAAGAAGAATAAATATTTTGTGTTCTA